AGTAAATTCTTAAATTAATGTCTTTTTTACAAATTTATCGGCTTTATTTATTGTCTTTTTACAAAATTTTAAACAACATTAAAATATTTATGCCTTCAAAATAAAAATTTCTTAGAACTAACATTTGTTAACATTTTTTATGTGTATACTGTGTGTTGTCGCCAATAGAGTCTGCTTGGCGAGATCTGCGCAGGCGAAATGGAAAAGTACCAAGCTGTCTTCACCGCTATACCCTGAAGACTGTGTTGCTGATTGTTTCAGAATGATTGTCATAGTTTTTTTATGACTGTAACTGTGTTTTTGAAGCTGTGAAGAGTAATACTGACAAATAAATTGTGCTTTGATACTTCATCAAGTGTTATCATCAATCACTCCAAATCCACGAACCCATACAGAAACGCAACACCATTATGATTTCTTACAAGAGGGAAAAAAGTACTCAATGCAATGTAACAAATGCTAAAACTTCCCCTCATCTGCTGACTGCATGCACATACCTGGGTTGTCAGATAAATACATTTTGACATCATGTGTTGCCTATTTTGGCAATACAGCATGTTGCCTGGTGAATTCTTTTCAGAGTTGGCAGATAATCAGATACCAGAAATATTAAGGCAATTAAGTAAGAAACTGTAAGCAAAAATTAATAACTTGAATTTGTTGCATTTCATTTTTTCCCATTTTATTTTTTGTTGGCAGCTTTTTCATGCTGCATATTTTGGCCATAATAATTTATGGTACTTGCGTATTAATGCCACCACAGCAGATGTTGCACTGATGCACCAATAAAGATTAATCCTGTTGTTTGCACGCAGTTATCTTTTGGATTCCTTTTTGCCTTGTTTGCTGATTTTTGACACTATTTCTTAGCACTATGAAAATGCATCTTTGTAATTTGCCAAACACACAAAGCCAAAATAACAAGTCAAAGAATTACACAAGCTTGGTGTCCATGTACCGCCAAAAATCGCCAATGGGCACCCATAAATATATTTTTAACATTTCATTTTTAGTTAATACGAAAAAGATTATCCAAACTCTAATAGATTTGAATTATTAAAAAAATATAATTTTTTTTTATTAATTTAATTACTTTACATAAAATTAAATAAATTTTACTTAACTGTATTTTAAAAATATAAATATACTAGTTAGTAACATTTGCTAAAAAAAATTACTTTCGAATAAAACAACAGTAAGGCAGTCCGTAGAGCCTTTCTAATTTATAAAAGTGGTCCTGCACTTGAAAATAGTTTCAGAATTGCTGTGATAATTTATTATGTTTTTCCCACAATTATATAGACTCACATGTTCAAGAAACTTCAGCCTGTGAAACTAGTCACTTTTAAGATCTATCATGTTGCTAAAGTTAAGCCGTAAACAAATTAAATAATTTTACTCTAATTTATAAACTAAAATTAGACATTCTCCAACATATAAATATCAGGCCTTTCCCTTTCTTTTATCCTTTACCTTAAAACATCAAAATCTGGATGAATTAAAATAAAATTTCTCAAAACTTGATAAATTAAAGAATTTTTCCAAACCTCGTAAGGGAAAAACCTAACCAAAAAATTACAGTATTATCTGCAGTCAACAAGACAGATTCAGAGAAGCCCTCATTTTCATTCTTCGAAAAATACAAAATCCCAATATGCTTCAGGCAAGTGAAGAAACGTTTCTTAGTGCAGTAATGCATTAAGGCATGCATAACTGATAAGATTTATAAAAGGTGGCTGAAACAGACCAAAATTTTTCAGGAAAGAAATCTCCTAAATTATTTTTTTCTCATTGCAGGGATTAGCTATATTACTCACATAAATTATCATCATTCAAGTAAACCAGATTGAATTCTATTCCCCAAACAAAACTTCATAAAATGAATAAGAACACTTTATAATGTTCTAAATTAAATCTAGACACATATATTTGAAAATGTTATTCTGAAATGGAATTTTTAAGAAAATCAAACTATGTTGAGGTATTTAGTGTAATGAGTACGTACGTTTGTGCTACCTCCTATGCAACATTTACCAGCTGAACATCTATGTAACATTTAACAATTGTACCTTTTCGTAGTTTGCATGAGTTCATAAAATCAGTAATATGATTTAGCAGTTCACATGCCACATGAAAATATTTATAAAAGCAGTAAGAATAAATACAAAAACCACACTAAATTTATCATCTTGTATATGTTTGGCAGCTGGCTTGTAAGATTTAACTCCTAATAACCTTAACTAACTAATCCTTAACTAACTAAGATTTTAAGTGAAAATTTAACTTAGATGTATCATCACTATTACTGCAACAGGCTACATGTCTTCTTCTTCTAAAAAAGGCAGCTTTAAAAGAAACATGAACAAATTTAAAAATAAAAAACAAGACTTCTACCTGTACAGAAGGTATTTATTACAGGCCCAAACTTGCTCTACTCTCTATGATATGGCTCTACTCTTACATACGCCCTAAGATCACCTAATGTGGGGATATGCGTTCTGCGCTGGTTTTGGGCATGATGTTGTTTGTATGGCAACCCTTTTGATGTTGAAACTTAACTCTTTTGCTGCAGTGGTTTAATTGCTCATTGGTTCATGTCGTGTGTGTTTTGAAATAACCAATGTTACAATGATAGACGTGGTGGCAAGATTTCTGTCGCATATTTTAGATTGTGTAAAAAGTAAATTTAGTATTAAAAGGTGCGATGTTGGAGTTGTTAATGAGTCTTTTGTTCATGGGTGTGTTTATGAGGATCGAAGTGTATTTTTTGAATTTCCGTGGGACTTTTAAAATGGAGTCCGAAATGTGGAGCTGCTATGAGAACTCGGACGAAGAAGGGCATTTCTGATAGTTCTTGTGTGGATTTGCAGTCAAATGGTTGCTGGTAAAGTATGTGGTTGTCAGCGGAGTTTAAGATTTGGATCATGGTTTTCATGTAACTTTAACTTGTTTTCGTTTAACTCATAAGTTAACTTTGGAGGAAGTTTTTATCGTTACTTTCGAAATTTTGAATCGCAGAAAGACATGCGATATAGCCCTTTCGTTCACAGACATTGTGCGACTGGCGAAATTTTATTAATGAATGTATTATGGTAAGTGCATTTTATTTTGTAGAATGTTATGTTCATTGTTTTTTACTATGAATTTCTGTTGTTATTGTTGTTTTTTTAATTGTTTGTAATTTTAGTTTATTTTGTTGACATGTGTGCAATGCCTAGATTGTGCAATTCGTAGATGTTTTCTTAAATTTAAACAGGAAGCTGTGTACATGGTATGGTTTGAAATTTATTGTTGTTAATTATTAAAGCGAGGTGTTCGTGGTTCGTAGATTCTTTCGCTGCCTAGCTTGTGTAATTGGTAGATGTTCAATTCGATGTTTTTTTAAGTTAATACATATCGCTGTGTACATGGATTCTTGTCAAAATTTTTGGTTAGAAATCTTACGTTTTTGTTATCTAAATTTTTTGTTTTGTTTTGGATTTTTAGCTTAAATTGTGTGTTCAAAACATGGTTTTGCATTTGCGAAAAACGCGTTTTTGGAGACATTTTAGGCTTAAAGTTCGAAATGTAGACAAAAAATTTAGATAGTAATATGGCACCATAGAGTTTCTCGCCAAAAATATTTGGCAAGAAATTTGTCGCCAATCAAGGGCGTATATAAGACTAGTTCCGATGATATATATCATTATTTAAAACTATAAGACATCTTAATCAAATTTTAAAGTAGACATATTTCAGCTGTCAATCTGCTATAGAAAAAAAATCGCAAACCATTATTCTAAAAAAAATTAAATCCTCAGGAATTAATTCATATAATAAAGTGAATACAAGTCACAGTTTTAATGAAATGTTTAAAAAACAACTTTAAATCTGACAAAGTGACAGGTATACAATGAAAAAGTATGTCATAAATAAAACTTAACTATAAATAAATACCATATACTTACATACCAAGTATACTTCATATGGATTCTTATAATACACCAAAGATGTACTTTATTATTTATGCCCTTATATATTAATATGCATAACTTAGTTTAAAATAATATTTAAAACAGCTGCCTAGACAGTATAGTAGTTAGGGGAGCCGACTGCAATACTGAAGGGCCTGGGTTCGAATCTCAGAGAAGGCATGGATGTGAACTGTCTGTCCCCTCACGGGAGGTAACGGTGGCTGGCTATTAGGTGCCTCCACTTCTGGCCTTAGGAGTGGCCAATGCTGAAAAAAGGCAAGTGCCTACCGTTCAATAAAAAAAATATTTAAAACATGTGACTGAATTCTAATTAAATAGTTTTACTTGCCACAGATACATGCAAATATTTCGATAAGGAAGTAAATGCAACAAATAAATTAAACGAAACCTCACTTTTATATTATGGTGCAGGGTGCAATGAACTGTCGATAAATTACACTACTAAAATCAGTTATTCTCATCTTCAACTTGTTCCAAGAATGCATTCCCTGGATCAAAATTATTGTTTTGTATGATGTTAACAGCATTTGAAAGATTTAAAATCCTCTTTAAAACCTTGTGTTAATCAAATGGATTTTGATTTGAAACTGATTTACACTTACATGATAAAAATATTTTAAAGTAGAGTTACGATCTGCGACAGTACGATAACAACAACAAAAAAAAAAGAAGAAAAAATATGCTGAAATAGAAGTTTAATTTATCGATGAGTCGATAATCTACTCGATGAGCTGGTGATCAATATTATTTTCCATTTATATTATTTAAATAGGAACAAAAAGTAGAAAATATATTACCGATAAAAAGATGCATTTAAAAAAAAATCCCGTAAGATAACAACTACAAGAGATAATTAGCAACCATGAAAAACACATGTTCTATAAACAGAATTACAAGGGCGGCAATTTAAATTTTACCAGAAATAAAATATATTACTTTAACGTTTAATGCAATGTAACATGTTAATACCTTTTAATAAGTTCAACAAAGCATTAGTACATTACTTTATTTTAAAAAATTACATACTTTTAGTTTTAAGCCAGAAAACCGGACTGACCGCCACATAACTCTTAAAATTTATTAAATTTTCGAACGAAAAAGTCCTTGGAACGAACAGACCAAACACAAATATCAAGGTGTTGCCAACTTGAAGCAGAATGAAATATTTATTTCTTGATTAATGCTCTCAGATTGTTCATACTGTTCGCATACTGCTTTGACACCAAATGAGGGAGAAATTCAGACTATGGTTTTTATCCAATGATGTATTTTTCTACGGAAAGCGTATGATACATTTTATTGCTAAGAGGTTTTTTTTTTTTTTTTTCTCAGTAGCCATCCTCTTCGCAATGAGATACATTCCGGTGACGTCGGAGGTTCTTAGCTGTAAACAAACGAGGTAATTCCGCTGCATTCGATTTGTTGAAAGTTTAGTTTGCTCTTAATTCTTTATGAAATTTGTAATTCATTTTCAGTCATTGTTTCATCATTTAATTATCTATTCGTTCATTTGGTTAGTATAATTTTGATATATATATATTGGTATATTTTGTTGTTATACTCATGATACCCGTTGTTCACTGCTTTACCCAACGACTTCATATAACAGTATATTATCTCGTTGGCTTTACCATGTTTTGAATGTTCGTATTTACGTATAAATTCTTTCGTTAATTTGACAGTTCTTTCAAATCTTTTAGGATTTGTCTATTATAGATTTATTATTTTGATTCTCGTTTGTAAATTGTTCTTTACTTTTTCTAGTATATCAGTGCTGATAATGTCTACTGCTTGTTGCGCATACGGTTGTTCAAACAACAATATTAAGGACGAATGTAAAGAAAATAAGATTTCGTTTCATGTTTCCTTAGGATGAAAATTTGAGTAAACAGTGGATTATAATAATAAAAAAGGAAAACTTCAATCCAGCCCATACTACTAAAAAGCAGGTCCAATGTAGTCGTAGCGTTTTACCTGATCACAAAAGTCAAGTGACATTAATTTTTAAAACGAATATTTTGAAGTTTATGATTAATAACTAACAATGTTATTCCTGAATGGTATTTAAATATTGTTCTACGGATTTATCAAACGGAAGATAAAATGCGATTCATTTCAGAGCATATTCAATGGTCTGCAATTACATGAAAAGAAAAAAAAAAAAAATCTGAAAACTTTCAGATTTTATATTATCCCCAAAGGAGCGTGTTTTTAACGTTTTGTGCGTTACCTTTGTTTATTAAATAGCATGTTTTTCGCACTTAAAACCACAAAATTCAATCAACAGCAATACCATAAAATAATTTTAAAAGAGAATATCTTTAAAATTTTCGATACACAGTATCGCGCGCTGGAAATAAAATTTTTTTTTCATACAGTGTTGCCATTGCTCGATTTGAAAACATTGAGTTTATTAATCAAAAATTCGTTAAAGTTTTACCAGAGCTTAATTTCCACGGGAGCCTACAGGACTCGGGCTCCGGTACGTCTCAGTTTTAGAGGTAAATAGTAACTCTAGCAGAAGCACTTCGGAGCTCTAAATGGGACACAGTATCAGGAGGAAATTTTTATTTTAAAAATAAGTATGCGTTAAAAATCGATTATAATTTCCGAATATCTGCCTGTTTTTCTCTAGGGAAAAGAATGAATGTAGGAATGTAGGAGAGAAATTTCCCCATCCACATGTCAAAGTTTTATCCTACGGGTAGTGCAATGAATTGACTATGAGAGCGGGTAAAATGTTTTGTTCACAAAAGTACTAAAAGTGATTACCTTGGTCATGCACGTCCAGCGTTAGAGACCTCTCATTGAAGAGCTCTGCAGACTTGAACATGTAGCTAAATACGGGAGACAAGAATTTTCACTTGAATAGGCCTTACGCTTGTTCTTATGTTGCTATCGGATCAGATTCGGGGTAAACTTTTTTTTGGCCCAGTTGCATTCTTCTTGACATATATTGCCAGGGCATGGCGGTCAGAAAGCATAGGACCCTTCTCTATTTTCGACGCTACATTTCTCCGTTCAAATTTATTTCCATACTCTTATATTATTTCTAGCATTCACGCTATTGTCATTAGTGTCGTTTTAATTGTTTTACTTTTCTCCATTAGTGTACTGGAAGAATGGGTTTTGTTTCTCTCATCCCTTGAAATAGAGCATTATACCGTATACTCAGGGCTTGAATTCAGCCGAAGTTCTCCTAAGCCAGTGCTTAGTTTCTGAATGATATTGTAAGGATAGCAGGCGCTCCAAATATGATGAAGCCTAGTATTTTATTTGTTTTACTATTTCTCATAAATTTAATAATTTGTTAAATTTTTGTTTTTCTTTATATTTTTCGAATTTTAATTTTAATTCAATTATTTTAACTATTAGTCATTTGATTATTTTATTAGTTATTTTATTTATTTACTTCCCCCTTCTTCCTGAAAAGTAAGCCTTGAGTTTTACAAAATATGAAATAGATAATAAAACAAATTCCAAATCTGGACTTCCAGTTGCCCGTATTCAAATGAACGACTACCTTTTTCAAACTTTAATATCTCTAGGTACCGCTATTTTTGCACAGCAAGAGAAATATACATGCATTCATGCAGATTCTTCATTATTTAATTTCTTTAATGTAATGCAGGGCTCTAATATTTAGTGGCAACAATTTGAAAAGTGAAACGCCGTTTATAGTGAACCAACGCAAAATGCCAAAAAGAAATTAATATCCCTTGTGAGCAATTGTCTCTTTGGGCTAAAAAAATGTTGTTTGAGTAAATTACAAACCATTATTTAAAAGAAAAACTGAGTGGTTTTTTTTTTTTTTTTTTTTTTTTTTTTTTTTTTAATTCATGAGCAGTCTTTTAGAAAGGATAAATTAAATGATACATGTAAAAGCGCACTAAAGAAAAACTGTTATTCCAAAGAGAATATTTATTTAAAAATAAGCTATTAATTTGTTTAGGCTTTTGCTTAAAAAGTAATTTTGCTTCCATACAATTAGCATGAGGGGCAACAACTTGAGACCATTAGAAAAATTAAACTAAAATTAAATCCTAACCTAAGAAATCGGTAAACATTTTTACTGAAAGCTTTGGAATAACAACTTTTCTAATGCCCGGTATAGAAGAATTCCCCCCAAAAAAAAAAAAAAAAAAGGAATATGGTTGCAATTTCAGTGGTATTTGAATAATCAGTATCTCTCATGACAGCCCTGACTCATACAATATTTCAGTGTGGCATCCGCCGGAATCTGCCAGCATTGTTTAGTAATCAGTACACTGCGCATCGTTGAAAATTCTCGACATCACCTCTTGAATCGTTCCGCACCTACATAACCTATTGCTAACAAATCTAGAAATCCATGCTGGGTTATATAATCGCTTCGTCGAGCACAAATTCTATCTGTCTACCGAACTCTTCAACCTATCTAGCTAATTTTGAGCTGTTTTTCAAACACATGACAAATTAAAACTAATGTTACAGAAAGAACACATACGTGTACCTACTATAATGAAGTTATTTCGCAAATGCAGGTATGACATGAACACGTAACTCTTCATATTTCTATGGACATGCACAGATTTTCGATGTGGAGGCCTTTCGTCACACGGCAGGCACCTGCACAATAGTTTAGTTCCTAAGCTCTCGCCAAATAGGTGAACGGATCCACCATATTCTAACTGTTGCACCCATGAAGGAGGTCAAATGACTTACCGTCTCGTCTTGAATTTCTCAGTAAAATAACTCAGAAGAAAGTTTAAAATAAATTATTGTCAGCATAACGGTTACATAGTACAACTTTCCACTGGGTTACCTAACCTGTGTTTAGAAAATAAATCTTAAATGGAGTTTGAAATGGAATCAATAGGCAGAGGATATTTTAGAAAATAAAAGATCAGACTTTAAAAATAAACATTTACGGGAGCAAAATTTCACATTATTGCCCGAAATTTGTAGTGATCAAGCATTGGATCATTATATAACTTTTCGTTTGGCTACTAAGCTTTCATGAAGGACGAGACAGGCGTACCTGATGATTGAAAATTAATAAGACAAAAAATATCAACAGCTTAAAAGAAGTGTAATACTGGCATCAGAACCGGGCAACCGGTGCAGCTGCAAAGAGGCAGTACTAAAGGGTGAAAATTTTTAGATATGGGCCGACCGGCAAAATGCCTCTAACATAGTGCGATATTTACCGACAACTCTAACCTAGCACAGCAAAATGCCTCTAATCTAGTGTGATATAGAAAGAAAGAAAGGTCATCAAACAAAGAAATCGAAAAATGCGTAAAAATATCACAAGCTAAAGAGATTAACCAATATCAATATGCCGATTTTGACAGAAACTTTGGAGAAGAGAGACGTTTGTGTTCTGTTGATCCCTCATTGCTTGATGCAAACTTATTGATATGAAGATTTGATGATTAAGGTGATCTCTATCTGGAATAACAATATTTGATAAAATGGGAATCAAACATTTTCACTAAAACTTTAATCGTTGGTCAAACCAATGATTCTTCCCACGTTTCCAGATACTTCAGGCAACACAAACACTTGTGAAATAAATTATGATCTCTTCCTAGGATACCGAGGAATTATAACGAAAGGTAGAGTTCGAAAGGTAAAGAGGTAATTAAATAATAAATGTAAGCATTGCGTTTTAAATTAACTTCGCATTAGTGTATTCCGATGACCATTACCTGTTCAAAAAGTAACATAAACGGAATAATAATGACCAGAAATTAAATTACTTGTAATTGTACGTATTTGTTGCTCTGACGATAAGCCAGCAGTGAAAAGTTTGAAATCTATGACATTTTTACGTACTTAATATCAGAAATTAAATTAGCGATTAATACGGAAACGTGGCACTGCATAATTTCTATTTCAAATTCTATTTGTATGAAAAAATTAAACTATATAATATTTATCTCAAACAAGTAGCATTTTAGATATCAAAGGATCGCAAGTAGCTCGCAAGCCGCAGTTAAGGTGTCGGAGAGCCGCAGTTTGGCCATGTCTGGAATATGTTATATCTGTTTTACATTGCTACGAAATTTTTTGTCAAATTTCAATCAAAAATTTCTAATCAACAAACTTTCAGTTTACTGTACATAGTTTTTTTTTTTTTTTTTTTTTTTTTT